ACAGCATATATCTTAATAAACAAAGTGAATGCCCAATGTCTCCCAGAGTTTCCCCAGTGTTTTCCACCAGTAGTTTTGTCGTTTGAGGTCTTAGGTTCAGATCTTTGATCCACTTTGAATTGATTTTCGTTAATGGTGAGAGATAGGGGTTTAGATTAATCATTCTGCAGGTGTATACCCAGTTTTCCAGCACCATTTGCTAAAGAGATTTTTCCCTTTCTCACTGGATTGATGGTTATCTTCTGTCAGAAATCAGTTGGCTGTATGTTTTGGGATATATTTCTGGGGCTCTATTCTATGCCATTGGTCCACTTGTCTTTTTTTGTGCCGATACCATGGTGTTTTGATTATCACAGCTTGCGGTCAGAGAGTGAGAGTCTGCCCACTCCACTCTGCTTGTGCAAGATTGCTTTGGCAATATGGGGACATAGGTGTTTTTGACAGAGTCTCTCCTTACTGTGATCCTCTGGCACCAGCCTTCTAGTTAGCTAGGATTACAGGCAGTACTGCCATACCTAGCATGTTTAGGTTGGTTTGGAATCCAAAACTGGACCTTCCATGCAGCTTTATCATCTTGCAGTGAAAACTACCACTTGCACCACTGCAGCTGGGCTACATTATTAAATCTTGAAAAACAGTATGTGGGATTATATCCACAATTTCCACTTAGGTTAAAAAGTTCTCAAACTTTTTTCATGTGTTCATTTATTCATCCATACCTTGAAAGAAAGCATCTCCTTTGTGTCCATTCTATGCTAATGTGTTCTGACTCAGCTTAAAGTTTTATAGGAAGTCAGATAATGAAACAACAGTACATGAATGACACCACCTCCTCACTTCTTGCTCTCTAGCCATACTGATCTTTCAATTTCCTAGTTAGTATGCTCATTTTACTACATATTTTACTATTTTCACAGTGCTTTTTATATTATGAAACTGTTAGTTATGTATCAGTTTGGATGATTAATTCTTAAAACAAAATTTTTTTTCAAGAGAGATTTTTGCTATAGGGTGCATACGCTTATTGGAGAGACAGAGAAAGACAGAAAATGTGAAATTATCTCCCCCCCCGCCTCAAGGGAGGGGATGGCCATGTGGCAACCCCTTCTTCTACATTCTCCTCTCAGTATCTTGGACATTCCCAAGCCTCCCATGCACCTGGTATGCCACAGTGAAAGAGAGAGTGGGGAGTCCCAATGGGATCTGATCACGCTATAGTTTTTGTTTTCCCTCCATTTATCCATCTTGTTAAGATCCTGGGCATGTATGCCTGTTGTTGCCAAGACCAGGATTTGAATTGCCATTGGCCATATGAGATCTAGCTTCCTTTGTACAGTGCTGAACCACTGTGCTATGGGGTCAGCACCTGGATGATTATTTCTTAATATCTGTCTCTATATTGTTAATTCTCTGAGGGTAAGGATCATGATACTATTTAATTATCAATACCTAAGCTCAGTGTCCTACAACAGGAACTCAGTAAATGTTTGTTAGGTGAGTGAATGAATAAGTAATTAGGGAAAATGCATAGGAGATACACTATATCTAATTGAATGGGAATTAGGGGACATTTCCAAAGAAGTGAATTTTAGGGTGGGATCAGAAGAATGAGGAGGAATTACCAAGTGAAAAAAACAGGCAGAGTATTCTGGAGCTTAAGTTTAGACTTTATCCTAAAAGCAGAAAAGGAATTTTAAACAAAAAAAAAAAGAAGAAGAATGGGGGCCGGCAGGTGGTGTGGCAGTTAAGAGCGCTGGACTCCCACATGGCCAACTGCAGTTTGAGTCCCAGACCTGGCGGCTTGCTATCTTACTTTCCCTCTCTCTCTCTCTCTCTCTCTCTCTCCCTCTGTCCCTCTCTGGTCAAATTAAAATAAATAAAGTTAAATAAAATTATACTTAAAAAAAGAAGAAGAAAAGATACTATCAACTTTGTGTTTGAGATAGTCTATTTTTCAGTGTTATTAGGAACATGCAGGATGGGCAGTGCTGGCACAGAGGCTGGTTGGGAGGCTTCAGTAGTAATAGTTGGAGGTGGTCTCAATTGGGTTCTTGAAAGTAGCAAAAGAAATAAGTAGATACATTTATGAAATTTGAGAAATGGAAGAATAGT